CAGAGCCACACGAGTATATATTTCTTGTCTCTCTGACAAGAAATATATACCATTCTCTGTCACTTTTAAATTGTTCCTCAAAATGTACATTGTCTATAAAGTTTAATAACAAAAAACAAATGATTGCCATCTTATTCTAGGCACCTAAATATGGACTTTTGTTCATGTGAGGCAAGTCTGTTCTTTATTACAATGATTTTTTTCCAGTATACCCAGTGACTCAGTGCAACAGTATCAATTTGAGAACTATTTAAACCACAGATGTTGCCTCACCAAGATAAGAAATATCCAGCATGTTTTTGGTGTACAGTTAAAACTTCTGGATCCATGATGGTATCTGGGTGCAATACTGAGCAATGAACACGGCACGGGTGACTGCCAGGTCACAGGTTTTGGACCGACATATCACGGCATCTATTTAGGGCTACACAGTTTAATTTTTTATATCAATCGTGCTCGACGATCAAACTATTTTCAAAATGAGCACTCTGCCAACAGGGCGCTAAAGAAAAAAGCAAATCCAGCGCTCTCTTCATCACTGCCTGACTCCACATGCCTGCATGTGATGTTTCAGCCTAATAACACTAGGATGAAAAACAGAAATGCAACAGGTAACAGATCATCAAGACAAAATGCAAACATCTGGCGTGGCAGGAGATGAAGTCCTGGATCCTTTACATGCAACATGCGCAACACAGCTAATCGCAGTATGAAGAATACATAAAGGCCAGGAACACGTTACCTTCGTGAATTGCCCAGCATCCACTCAGATGTCTATAAAAGCGAGCCTCATCAGTGTGTCTGTGTAACCATCAGTGTTGGGCAAGTTACTTTGAAAACGTAATTAATTATAGTTACTAGTTACTTCTTCAAAAAAGTAACTGAGTTACAATATTCTAAAAGTAATTAATTACTTGAAAAGTAACTATTGCGTTACTTAAAAAAAAAAAATTATACCCTGGGGTCTCGGGTATAATTGGCCATTTTTAGCTACTTTTGATTTTTCTTCCAAATTTCACCTTTAAAAATATTTACTTTGCCTTGTTTGGTATCATCCTTTTCAGCACAACCTCATGTGTCTGAATTTACAGTTATGTTGTCATTTTGACATACTGTATTAACACAATTGATCTAAAATCAGACAAAAAACAAACTGAGTAGAAAAAGTTATATTTTTTAGTGTAACAACCACAAACATGTTTAATGAATCATATTTCATAACTTTAAATGCAATTATAAATTGTCAATTTTAAAATCCTATGCACAAGTTTTGCAAACAACAAAGTTATTTACCTTTTACCTTGATTTTTTAAATAACCATTTCAAACTATTTACAGAACAATCAGCTGTTCTGCACTCAATAAGATGCCATACAAATTATTTGAGCCACTCCCAAAAAACAATTTCTGTCCACTATAAAGGAGAACATCACAGCCTGATGCCTGCAGGTCTGACAGCAGCAGGTGTATCACTCCTGTTTCTACCTGGAGACAGCAGTCGCCTCGTTGTTCTGACACACAACACAAAACTATCCACAACACTACAAACTAACTACACAAGACAACACATTAACTACACACTCCAAACATGCTAAATGTCACAAATCTCTCACATCTCAAAACTCGCTCTCTCTCTTTTTCTGCTCTCTCTCTCTCGCCGTCACTCCTAAAACGTCCTGTTTTTTGTTTTTGTTTGTTTGTTTGTTTGTTTTTGCTCATAAGCAGAGAGTGCTTGCTAGCGCTGTCCTTAGACAGTAAATGTGACGAAACTATTGAGGAAAAAACGCCGCGTATATATTGTTTATCATGACTGTGGTTTTACGTGGCCTATCAACACAATTTATAAACTGGTATATATCACCTTGTTGCTTTGTCTTTAAGTGGTCATGTGATCGGCTTACCACGACTACTTTATTCTTCCGCAGTCAAACAGCAGCATTCATGCTAGGACTGGGCGATAAGACCCAAAATTCATATCTCGATATTTTTTAGCTGGATGGCGATATACGATATATATCTCGATATTTTTTTAAAGCCATAAAGAACAAAAAGAGAGTTCTTAGTCAAAGCTGTGTCCCAGATGTCACACAGGCACTTTTATTAACATACAGCGTAGATGTACATGAAAAAAATTACTCAAAAATAAATTATGAGCATTTATTAAATAATAATGCTCCATAAATAAAGGAAACTATGTTGTTTTTGTGCATAACAAAAAGCTCACAATTGTGCAGTCAAAATGTAAACTAAAAGACGCTGAGCACAATAACAAAGACAGATTTCACAGCTGCTCTGTTCCCGAGTTCTACTGCGTGACTGACAGCCTAGAGTTTGAAATCCTCTTCGTAACCATGTCTCTTAACAGGTGCCATTTATGGTCCTTATACACACAGAATACGGTAATATTACGTTGAAGCACAGTACGTATTACTCCGCGAGGCTCCTCGGTAGCTGTAATGCTCTGACAATCCATCAAGTGGTGCAGCTCCGTAGCTTACCAAAGTCGTACCAAAACATTTTTTGACAGATTGCTGAGCGCCGTGTACCACATAAAATCGGTTAGCGGTCATCAAGCACAACCAGAATTCATACATAAGGCGAGCTGTCAACTTTTGAGAAAATGAAAGGATTTTAGGCTGTGCAGCCCCTCTGGGCTGCATGGCGTTAGCGCGGTTAGCGCATTAACACGTTGACGCCGTCCAGTCCCACACACAGGGCGATGGGCGGTAAGTCGTTAACGGAGATTTGCCGTGTATATCTTGTCGTTGCCTGCAGGTGAAGCGATGGGGGAGGGGGAGTTGTGTTCAGTGAAGGAGAGGTGAGGCAGAGTAT